AGTCGCGCTATAATTCTCAACGAACGTCTCACGTGCTCGAGTTCAATTACAAACTCTCTGACTGCAGATCAATTACTCACTACACTGTTGTCCCGTCACGTTGTGACCATCTTATATATATACAAGAATAACACATATCTAGTAAATGCTAGGGCATTTTTGCAGGAACAGGATATTTCTAGAAAACGGGTGGCGTGATACTAGTCACGTGACCTCGCTGACGCAACAATAGATACTCTCGGGCAGAAGGGACATCACCTACTACAGAGAACAAAGAAACAGAGCAACTGGAACTAGATAATCTTAACCACTTTCTGGACAATGTTTTTTTTCTTGATAACCGAAAAATGTTTAAAAGCTCCGTATTATTAAAGCAGGTAGAAAACATATATGCTCGCATATTACAAAAGATTACATGATTTACAGAAAAGGGAAACAAGAGTTTTTATTTTCTCTGTCTTCACTGATATTTATTCTTGACACACTGAGAAATTATTTTAGGTCATATATTAATAACATAATGGGGAAGGTTTATTGTTGACTTAAATTTCTTAGGATAATCTTAGAAAATGCAACTCTTATTGTAACCAGACAAGACGTTTGATTTTAAAACAATTTTAAATATAACTTACAATTTAATTATAATAGTTCCCCGGTAAGACAGCGGTAAATCTACGGATTTACATCGTTAAAATTCGGGGTTCAATTCCCCCCGCAGTGGACACAGCAGATAGCCCAATGTGGCTTTGATCTAAAAAATTACAAACAAATGACGAGAATAATAAAATTATGTGTCTTTACACACACACACACATATACAACAAAACTTGAATTCTTTTTCTTTCCCCTGGTAACTGGAGGTCCCTTGAAATAACTAAATTAATCACATGCTGATAACTAGCTTATCTTGTCATAATTTAGAGAAAAGAGAAATAATTCAAGTTTCATTATACATATCCATATTGAAGTGAAGCTTTGAATTATGGCTTATATATAGCGTCTTTATTAAAACTAATCTCAATTTGTAAAAGTGACAGCAAAATCTTTTATTATTATTGTAAGCACCTCAGAGACAAAAGAAAAAAAGTTTCAGCTTTGAGTCACGAAGAGAGGAAGATGAGTAGTTATTATATGCGCGTAAGTGCACTATTGTGTCAACAGGTTGTAAAGTCGGACGATGTACGAGAGTAGAGACAAGAATATATTACACTCGATTAACTTTCGACACATGTTTTGTAAGCGTAAGCAACTAAAGTTTATACTGCTTGTTTCATCCTGAGGAAGTGTATCCTGTTGTTATATAGGCGTCATATTAGTATTTGCTTTTAAAATTTATGATAGCACGACTTAATTTAAAAGTAAAACCCCAGTTCAAATTAAAACATATTCAGTGCTACTACTACTAGACAGAGGAACTTGGACGTTAGCAACAATAATACTAATAGTACTGTAGTTTAGAGTGTAGTACTAGTAGCACTATTTACTTATGTTAATACTAGTTGTGTAAAACTACTCATTTTATTATACTGAACATCACTACTAGTAGCCTTATAACTTATAAGAGAAGTTACAGTGTAACCTAAATATCGGCCCTTGACCCGGCATTTATTTACCAGTTTTAACTTTTATTGGGTAATAAAATTATAAGCTGAAGTAAGTGTAATTTTTTATCTTACAACTTAAGTTTTCGTCGTACTGTTGTACTAGTTGTTACTTTCAGAAGTTATACATAAACTTTAGAACTATTTTAAAAATTGTATTCATTTATTTTA